TCCCCCCCCCCCCCCCCCGGCCAAGGGCCACATGGGGCTTGGCGAACAGGGTGAGTAGTGATGAATGCGGCGCGCCCGTTGTCTCGGGCGCGCACGCGCCGCCCGCCCCCCTGCGCGCACTCGCCCGGCGTCCGACATATGTCCAACTGAGGCAACCGCCGAGGTGGCCCCAGGGCGGCACGGCGGCAGCACAGCGGCAGTAGCAACAATGGAAGCCACCCCCCTCCGGCGTGCGCCCGCCCTTGGTATCTTGCCCGAGGAGGGAGACGCCGGCACCGGCGCCCGGCTATCCCCCCCCCGCGGACAGGGGGCGAGAGCCACGGCAGACCGCCGCCAAGTGGGCGGGGCTCTCTCTCCTCTCACTCTCTCTCTCGCTCTCTCGGCCAGGGCCAGCCGGCCGGCCCTCGCCCGCGTCCTGGCTCCGGCCCTCGGGCTTGCCGCTTGGTGAGCATTGCTGAAAAATAGTTGGCAGGAGCGCACGCCCTTCGTTCAGCGCGCGCTCTCTCACTCTCTCTTACTCTCTTACTCTCTCACTCTCTCACTCTCTCTCGCTCTCTTGGGAACACACGCGCCGTGCTTCGCCCTCGCTTCAGGGGCGCACACACACCCCCGCGCACGCCGCCCCCCCTGGCCGGCGCCTCTCGCGCCCGCCGATGGTCGCACCCCGGTTCGCGGTTACCCGCCCGCTTCGGGGGGCCGAACGAACACCCGCCGTGCCCCCCGTCGCCCCTTCCTCCAGGGGGCCGGCCCCAGTGCAACTCCCCGTACCAGCTCCGGGGCGCGTGCCCACCCTCCCCTCTCGGGCGGCGCTGCCTGCGGCGCCCGGCGCCCGGCCTGTTCCGCCGCACGCGTCGTGCGCCACGCCGCGCCGCGCCGCGCCGCGCCGCGCCGCGCCGCCCTGCCGCTGCCCTGCCGCCGCCCTGCCGCCGTAGAGGCGGCCTCGCACATGAAAACACCGCCAGGCGCGCAGGGCCACCTCGGCGTGGCCGCGCGCCCACGCCCTCGCACCAACCCTCATCCAGGGCCGGAGCAATTTCCGGCCGTGAAAGAAAAACAACGAGCAGATCCCCGCCCGTGAGGCGCTGCAGCGCGGTCGCCCAGCCCGGGTCAGGGTTGCAGGTATGTGGCCTCACAAAGTGCGGGTTCCACCAGTTCAGACCGCGCGGGTTGCCTGCACACCCGGGGTTTCCACGGGTCCCACCGGCCCGGCGCCCACGCGCGGACAGTTAACCGCGAGTTACAGCGTCCCGCGTGACCCCGGGCAACGAATCACGCCTGGCCTCGCGCCCGCCCGATCGCCCGGCCCGCACGCGCCGCACGCCGTACGCCCTCCCGTCCCAAGATCCAAGGGCCAGGCCTGGAGACCGGCGCCGGAGGCGAGGGGCACGATCCCACCACCCAGCAGGTCCTGCCGCCTAGACCTTCCCCGCCCCCGCCCCCGGCTCCTCAGCATGTCATCACTCAACACGCTCTTCCGTGTGACGACCTTTGGCGAGTCGCACGGCGACGCGGTTGGCTGTGTAATCGATGGGGTGCCGCCCGGGCTGCTGATCCCGGCCGCCGCCGTGCAGCGGCAACTTGACCGCCGGCGCCCCGGCCAGAGCCATCTCGTCACCCCGGTGCGTCTCGGCCAGGCCCCATGGCGCGCGCTGGCGGGCCGGCTGCCGGGCTCTGCCCATGCGCCCCCCGGTCTGCCCCGCCAGTGTCCTGGTGACGGTTCCCCGCTGGCCGTCATGTAGCATGGTCTGCCTGTGTGGCGCTGCCATTTCCCCCGCCCCCCCGCCCCCCCCCCCCGTGCATCTCACCTCCCCTCGCCCCCATCGACGCAGCGCAATGAGCCGGACCGGGTGCGCATCCTCAGCGGGCTGGACCCCCTGACCGGACGGTCGCTCGGCACCCCGTTGGCCATGATGATCGACAACCAGGACGCCCGGCCGCAGGACTACCAGGCCTTCCTGGCGGTGCATTCCCCGGCCACGGCCGCGCCCGAGGCCGAGCATGCCCCTTCACGGCCGGCAGGCAGCGCCGAGCCGGCCTCGCGCGACGCGGCCCCCCGGCCCTCGCATGCGGACTACACATACCGGTGCAAGTATGCCGTGCCGCACAGCCCGGCATCGGCCGCGCACCAGGACCAGCTGTTTGCCGGGCTGGCCGAGGCCGACCGGCTGGCCGCCGGCGCCGATGTCCCGGCCGATGGGGCCCTCCTGGCCGAGCGCCAGGCCCTGCGCCAAAGCCTGGCCAGCAGCCCGTGGGCCTTCCTGCCGAGTGCCTCGGGCGGGGGCCGGGCGTCGGCTCGCGAAACGGCCGCGCGCGTGGCCGCCGGCGCCGTGGCCGACCTCTGGCTGGCCGGCGCCTTCGGTGTCGAGGTGGTTGCATATGTGGAGGCAGTTGGCCGGGTGGCCATGCCGCGTCACCCGGCCGGGGCCGCATGCAGCGAGGATGCCTGTGCCGCCGGCACCGAGCCCGGCGATCCGGGCCTCGAGTCCGATGCCTGCGAAGATGACCACCACCACCACCACCACCACCAGCAGCAGCAGCAGCAGCAGCAGCAGCAGCAGCAGCAGCAGCAGCAGCAGCAGCAGCAGCAGCAGCACGAGCCGGCTCACAGCGCGGAGGGCTGTTGGTTCACCCGGGCCCAGGTGGACGCCCATCCCGTCCGGTGCCCCTGCCCGTACTGGGCCCGGCGCATGGAGGCCGCCATCGCCGAGTCCCAGGCACGCGGGGACTCGGTCGGCGCGCGGCTGGCCGTCCGGGTGCGCGGCCTCCCGGCCGGCTGGGGCGAGCCGGTGTTCGACCGGCTGCCCGCGCGGCTGGCCCACGCGGCCCTCTCGCTGCCGGCCGCCCGGGGCTTTGCCATGGGCCGGGATGGCTGGCACCGGGCGGTCCAATCGCACGGCAGCCGCTGGAATGACCCCTTCGCGGCGGCCGGCCCGTTTGAGCGCCCGGTTGCCGGGCGTGGCCCGATTGTGCCCCTGGTCCCGGCCACCAATCAAAGCGCCGGGTCCCAGGGCGGGCTGACCACCGGCCTGCCGCTGTCCTTCCGCGTGGCCATGCGACCGCCATCCACCATTGCCCGGGCCCAGCGGACGGCCGACTGGGCCGGGGCCCTGCGCGAGGTCGCCGGGGCCGGGCGCCACGACCCGTGCGTCGGCCCGCGCGCGGTCCCCATCCTCGAGGCCATGACGTCCCTGGTGCTGGCGGAGTGCGTGTATTTCTCTCTTCCTTTTTTTTTTTTTTTTTTGCCCTGCGCCCGGCCCCGGGGCTTCGGCTCTTTCGCTGTGTGCTTTCGGCCGTCTCGACATTGACACCGGCCGCCCGCCGGATCTCGGTGCCCTATCCCCCTCGCCCGGGCGTGCCCGCCTGCCTGGCACGGCATGCCAGCCTGGCACTTATCCAGCTGAGCCGGCAGGCCGCCTCGCGGGCCTATTTCGACTCGCCACTGAGCGTGGCACACGCTGGACCGGCGGCGCTACTGACGCTGCGCGAACTGGACCCGGGCCCGGGCGCCGAGCAGGTGTTCCCCCCGGCGCGCGATTGAGGCCAGCCGGGTGTCCCTCTGTCTCCGAGCATGCGGGGACCGCCCATGTGCATGTGCATGTATATATTTGTGAGGTCACACGTTGGAGTGGGGTGGGGTGGGGAGGGGAGGGGGGGGGGGGCGAGGCTGGGGCCGAGGCGCCGGGGGGGATGGGGGGGGGTGTACGGGCTCTCCGCTGCTGTCCCCTCCCGCTCGCCGTCCGTGGCCTTGCTTCTACGGTGAATCAGGCCGTCTCGGGAGCCGGCGCGGCAGGGGTCTCCTCGACCGCAGCGTCCTCGTCGGCCGGCGTCTCGTTGTTGGAGATGATCTCGATAGAGCCTGATTCGCCGGCCGGCGGTGGGGCCCAGAGAGAGAGAGAGAGTGTGTGTGTGTGTGTGCGTGTGCGCGCGCAAATCGGGAAAGGTGTCAGTGTGAGGCAGGATGCGAGCGGAGTGCGGGGCAGCGTGCCTTCGCGCGTACCCTTGTAGACATACTCCAGCGCGGCAGCGATACCGGTCATGTCGTGCTCGATGGTCTGGGCCCAAGTGTTGACATCGCCCAGCTCCTTCGGTGTGTGTGTGTGTGTGTGTGTGTGTGTGTGTGCGTGTGTGAGGGCGTCAGGGGAGATGCACAACTGTGGAGCGAGAGCGAGCCGTCTCTCTCCGCCTCCCCCAATCCATGTCCGAGAGCTGGACCAAGCGCGCGCCCAGGCATATGTTCCTGAGTGTGTGTGCGCACGCGCACGCGCACGCGCACACGAAACGCACCTTCAGGGCGGTGTTAAAGCTCTCCACCAGACTCAACCACTGGGCCGACTGCTTGGCGAAGCGAGCGCTCGCCTGCTGCAGCTGGTTGGCCTCCTGCTCGATCGCCTGTTGGTAGTCGAAAACCATCATCACGCTGCCATCCGGGACCGAGGGGACCGCAGGGGAGGCAATGCATCGGGGGGGGGGGACAGAGAGAGAAAGAGAGAGAGAGACAGAGCCTCAGATGGGTCAGTCACACATACATGTACGACGGGCGGAGGCAGCTGCAGGATGCCGAGGGGCAAGGGAAGAGGGCAGGACACGGTGTGCGCATGCTGCGCACCGCTCATTGAGGAGATCGACCGAGAGGTCGGAGAAATTCCGCACTGACGAGGACATCTGCCTCCGGAGGTTGTCTATCGAGGCGCCAGCACGGGGGAGGAGGATCGCAGGTTAGGCTGTGTGTGTGGTGTGTGTGTGTGTGTGTGTGTGTGTGTGGGCGTGCATGGGGAGGAGGGGGGGGGGGAGGGTGTGCAATTGGGCAGGCAGGCAGAGGCCCACACTCGGTACCTGTCTCGGCGCGAGTAGCTGACTGCTGGTTTTGATACTGACGCAGGGTCTGATTCAGCATCAGCGGCTGGAGGGCCGGCGGAGGGGGCCGCGCAGGGGCAGCCCCGGCAGCGGGAGCGGCGCCCGGGCGCCCCGGAGAGGCCACAGCGGCGGGATTGGCGGACATGGTGGTTCGGCGTCCGGCAAGGCGAGGCGGATGGCGGGAAGATCGGATCTGGAAAGCGGGGAGGGAGGAGAGGGGGGAGGCGGAGAGGGGGGATTGATGTCTCGTCCCGTGCGATGCCCCCGGCAACAGTCCCCTTCAAGCAATCCGTCCCCCCGCCCAGCCCCGCCCCGCCCCGCCCCCGCCCCCGCCCCTCCGGCCCTTCCCTGGGCATGCCTGCGTTCCAAAGTTGTGTTTTTATTCGGCACCCGGGCAGCAGCCAACGGATCGAGCCCGTTGACGCGCCTACGCCCGGGACGCGGGCGCGGGGCTCAGTTAAGCCGGGCTCCCAGTTACGGCGCGGTTCACAGCCAGACCGGAGCCGCAAGCGGGGTCCACACGCCGGGCCCCGCGCCTCCCCCGCCCCCCTTCGCAGCTGGTCCCCGGAGCGCCCGTGCCCTTCCTTGCCATCTGCTCCTCTTTCGCGCATGTCTATTGTCTATGTGGAGAAGGGCGAGAGGGGGACCGGCCCGGCCGGTTACGTGGGGGTCGGGCCGGGCCCATGGCGCTTGCCGCGCGAGGAGCCCTGCTGCACCGGGGCCGGCTGGGGGAACGAGGGGTATGACTGGCCGGCCGGGACACCGCCACCGAGCCAGCCCTGCTGCGGCGCGAAGGTCAGCATCGGCATGTGTGTGCCCAAAGCGGCACCAGCGGCGGCGGCGGCGGCGGCCGCATCGGGCCCCGGATCGGAGCATTGGTCCCGGACAGGCCGGAGGAGCTGGCTCTCGCCGGGAAGCCGCGACGTGTCGGCCGCCCGCGACGAAGGGCCCCCGCCACTGCCCTCGCGACGCCGGCGCCGAGACCGCCGGCCGGCCGACGAGGAGGGAGATGTCCCCAGGGGAATCGGGGGCATGCCCGACATCGGGAACACCGGTGGCGGGAACATCGGCGGCATGAGCATCATCGGCGGCGGGTCGGCCGGAGTCGGAGCGCGCCCGCCCCGGCGACGATTGCCCCCGCCGCCGCCGCCGCCGCCGCCGCCGCCGCCGCCATCGCCGCCGGGCCCGACAAAGCCGCTCGCAAAGGGACCCCCATGCAGGGGGAAGGGCATTGGCATCATGGCCGCCGCCGGGTGCCACAGCTGCGGGGGTTGCGGCGCATGGCGGAGGGGGTGGTAGGCATGCGCGCCGGTGTGCGGAGAGGGGCCCCGGTCCGGGGAGCTGCTGCCCGATCCCGAGGCCGGCCCGGCACCGGGGCCATTCTTGTCCCTGGACGAGGAGGACCGCGGTTGGCGAGCTGCCGCCTGATCATCGCCACTGCCGGTGCCCGGGGCGGCACCGGGGCCACTCTCGCTGTCGGGGGAGGAAGGGGGGCCGGAATCCGGCCGATCGCTGTCGGAGGCACTGGCACTGCCATCGGGGGACCCCGGTGCCGGGGCGACGGCGGTGGGGGCCCCGGCCGGCATCATGCCCATCATCGGCCCGGCCATCATCATCGGCCCGGCCATCATGGGGTTCATCATCATGGCTGTTGACATGGGGCGTTGATGGCCGCCGTGACCGGCGCCGGTGGCCGCCCCAGGAGGCAAAACCATCGGGAAGCCCCCGGGCATGGGCATAGGCGGCCACATGCCGACCCCGGCCCCGGCGCCGGGGGCCCCGCCGTAGAAGGAAAACCCGAAGGGCGGCGCCGGCGCCGGCATCGGGCCGGGCTGCGGGACCGAGCGCCGGGACCTGGACCGAGCGCCGGCCCGGTCGCTCGGCGACCCGCGCCCCGGGGCCGGCGACGACGGCGCCGACCCCGGCGCCCGGCCGAACTCCGACTTGATGCCGGACAGCTGCCGGGACTGGTGCTTAGACGCCCGGGGAGACGCCGCCGCCGCCGCCGCCGCCGGGGCTGGAGGTGCGGCCATCATGCCCATGGGCGACCAGTGCGGCGGGAAGGGAGACCCACCGACCATGCCGAAGGGGTTGGCGAAGTCCGCGACACCTGGCCCTCCGCCGGGCACCGACGGCATGAGCCCCGGCCCGTGCGGCCAGCTGAACCCCCGGCCGGGCGGGGACTCCCCATCGGAGTCCGACCCGGAGCCAGAGCCGGAGCCGGAGCCAGAGTCGGAGTCGAAGTCGGAGCCGGAGCCGGAGCCGGAGCCGGAGCCAGAGCCGGAGCCGGAGTCGGAGCCCGGGTCCGAGCCGGAATCCGAGCCCGACCCATGGTCGCTCTGGTCAGAGGCCCTCCCGGAGGAGGAGCCCGTCCCACCGTCTGAGGGGTCGGACTCGCTGCCGGTCGAGGAGCCGGACCCGCCGCCGCCCGGCCACTGGGGGCGGCGGGGGGGATGCATGGCCCCGGCGGGGCCCGGGAAGAATCCGGCCCCGGCCGGGAAGACCCCCGGCGGGTACATCCCGGGGAACATGGGCCCCGGGAAGGGGAATGCCCCGAAGGGCCCGGGGAAGTAGGGCATGAACATGGGCGAGCCGCCGGGCCAGGCCGCCCCACCTGCCGGGGTCGAGCCCATCATCGGGCCAAAGGGGCCCTGGGGGGTGAGGGGCATCCCGGCTGCCTGATACACATGCGGGCGCTTGGTGGCCGGCATGTCGCGCGAACTGCCGGATGGCCGGGTGTCAGAGCGGGCGCATTTCCCAAAGAGCCCCAGGGTCCGGGCTTGGGCAGGGGCGAAGGGGGAGGGGCGGCGAGCCACATGCCGGTGGTGCCGGCCGTGGTACGGGGCGAGCGGCTGGCCAGAGGCAGACATACCTTTCTTGATGGCGGCGGCGCTTGGCGCGTGCCGGGGCCACCGGCGCCGGGGGACTCGGGGCCGGGTTAGGCGGGCCGGGGACCGAGGCCCTGGCCGCCGGGGGCGGCGAGGCCGTCTCCAGGCCACCCCCCGGGGTGGGCATCGAGCCTGGCCCTGGGCCCGGGGGGAGGCTCGCGCTCTCCCGGTCGGCTGGCTGGTGCTGGAGAAGGAGGAGGGGCGAGGAGCATGTCATAGGGTGAGCAGGAGCCGGCGGCACCATGGCCCCCGCCCTTTCGGGAGAGCGGAGGAGGGGGGGGGGAGGGCAGGGGCACAAGCGAAAAGGAGGAAGGGCAAGAGCAAGAGAGAGAGAGAGAGAGAGAGAGAGAGAGAGAACGTGTACACGCGTACCCCCGGGGAGCTGCTGTGAAGGGAGTATTCCTGTGCCGCCGGGCCCAAAAGACAGGCCGATGCATTAACCAGCTGATCCAAACGGGAGTGGCCTGTATGGCGGGCGGGGGTCTGTCAGTGTCGAGGGGCGCCCTCATGTGCCCGAGGCTTCCCGGAGGCCGAGCGGCCGGGGCAAAAGAGAGAAGGAGCGGGCGACACGCACTGGGCTTCGTGGCTGCCGGGGGTCGAGTCGCTGGGCTGGCGCCACCGTCCATCTCGCCGGCCGGCCGGCCGGGGTCCCGGGCGGCGGGCATTTTGGAGTGATGGTGACCGGGCTGTGTGGCTGGCTGGCGCACGGGCATTGCCTGATCCACCGGCAGGGCTGGCTGCTGGGGCTGCTGGGGCTGCTGGGGCTGCGGGGGCTGCGGGGGCGGCTGGTGCGCGGTGTTGGCCGACAATGGCGGTGAGAAGTCCACCCCGCCCACCTCGGCCGATGGCCCGGTGGTGCCCTGGGAGAAGGCCCCCAGCCGCTGCAAGGTGGTGACATGTCCCAAGGCCGGGGCCGGGGCCGATCGGGAGGGTGCGAGCAGGGTCGACAGGTCGCCGACTGAGGGCTCAGCAATCAGGGCCACCGTTTCCCAGATGCCGGGGGTGGCCTCCAGGGCTTCGAGAAAGTGCTTGTGCGTGCCGGGCCTGGCTGTGAGCTCGGGCGAGTAGCTGGCATCATGGCTGGCCTCTAGCAGGATTTGCGGCCGCTGATACTGCTGGGTCTGCTGCTGGTGTTGCTGCTGCTGGATGAGATGCTGCTGTTGTTGATGTTGCTGCTGTTGTTGATGTTGCTGCTGTTGTTGATGTTGCTGCTGCTGCTGCTGCTGCTGCTGCTGCCGCTGCAGGTCGAGGGCGAGCTGATGCAAGTCCGTGCTGGGCACAGGGACGTGATGGTAGACCGGCTGCAAGGGGTTACGGAAGGACTCGTGCGGGGGGGCATACCCAGGCGCATGGGGCTGGCCCGAGGCATGGGGCTGCGGCTGTGGCTGCGGCTGCGGCGAGACCAGCGGCGCCGACTGGGCCCCAGGCAGAAGGCCACCATTGGCGGCGACATCGTCCGGCATGCCGGAGCCCACCCACAGGGCCACGGGGCCCGCGGCGCCATCGGGGCCGGGTGCCGAGTGGTGGCCGGCCTCCGGGCCGCCTTCAGGATCGCCGGCCCCGGCCGGGGGGGGGATGGGCCGCAGGCGCACCGCGAAGCCCAGCCGGCTGGGGCCCTGCTGGATGGCGGTCTGCAGGGCCGGGGCGCGCTCCTTGGCCGGGATCCAGCACTGCACGGCGGCCGGGCTGTCCGGGCTGTTGGAGGTGCCGGCCGTACCGGCGCCGGTGCCGGGCCGCGCGCGCCGGTGCGTCCGGTTGCACTTGTTGCAGGTGGATGTGTTCTTGAGGGACAGCTGGGTGCAGTCGGATTCCTTGGTGCAGATTTGCTGGCCGCCCACGCGGGCATTGTCCTCGCGGCAGGTCTTGCACAGGAGGGTCTTGATGGCGCTGGACACCGGGCCCAGGCAGGCGAAGCAGTACAGCAGGATGTCATAGCGGGGCTGCTGCCGGGAGCGGGCCGCCCCGGCGCGTGGGTGTCCGGCCGCCTGCGGGGTCCCGGGCTCCGGGTCGATGTCGCTGCTGTTGCTACCGCTGGCGGAGGTGGCCGCGGCCGGGCCCGAAGAGGCGCCAGCCGGCTGGGGGGTGGTTGCGAGCGGGGCCGGCGTGGGGGTGGGGGTGGGGGTGGGGGTGCCGTCGCGGCCGCCGCGGCCCGGCGCCATCGGGGCCTTGGCGATGCGGCAGCGCATCAGCCCGCGCGAGATGTGCATCAGGGTGTCATTCTGCCCATGGGCGCAGCGGAGCAGGTAATTCAGCACGGCCAGGCCGGTGGTGGCACTTTCGGGATTGGGGATGGTGGCCAGGCGGGGGAGGAGGTCCGGCGGGCCGAGGTCCGCCAGGTCGCCGGGGATGCCGCCATTGGGTCCGCCGGTCGGTGGCCAGGTTCCCTCCGAGGTCAGGCGCACGATGGTCCGGAAGAAGTGCGACCCCGGGCCAAAGTGGATGAAGGCATTTTCCACATGCGTGGGCGCGTCCTTGAAGATGTCCTCACACTGTTCGGACAGGTACCGTGCGGAGGCTGGTGCGTGGGGCAGGTGGCGAGGAGGGGGGAAGGGGGAGGGGAGAGGCGAGGACGGGGGTCAGCGGGCGACCGGGGGCGGCGTGTGACATGCTCACAAGGCCGGCACGCACTGAGGGCCGTTTCGAGGAACTCGCGCCAGGGGCGGAAGTCCTCCGAGGTGGGGTCGGACAGCCCGTCAACCGAGTTGGCGCGAACCTGGGCCATCTCCCGTGCGGGATCGATGCATCCGCCAGCCGGGGGATCAGGGAAGGAGCGGGGCGACTAGGGCGCAGGGAGGGCGGGCAGGCAGGCGGGCGGGCGGGGGAGGGGGAGAAGGCGTGTGTTGTGGGTGTGTATGTGGGCGGGCGTGGGCTTGCGCGCTGGAGACATGGGCGGAGAGGCGGAGGGTAGAGGGGGCGGGGGGGGGGGGCGGGGAGGGGGGAGCGCGCGTTGCGGCCGGCCCGCGGCGGTGGCCGGGGCGAAGGCGCGCGAAAAGGAGGCACGGGCAAGCGTCGAGAGACGTGCTATCGTGGGCACGGATTGCCGCCGGCCGGGAATGATCGGTCGGCCGCCGGACCGCGCCCGAATGGAGGGCGGGGTCTCTGACTGCCAGCAGGGGGCGATCTCCGGCTGGTGGGACAGGGGCGGGGACAATATGTCCGGCGCCCACATGTTGGGCGCCCCAACGGCGGGGCCCTGCCCGCCCCCCCCCCCCCCCCCCGCCCGCCGGCCTCCCCAGAGGGTGCCCAGGCCGGCGTGAGCGCGCCCACCGCCCCTCGCCCTCGACGGCGGGCGAAGATCGGGCAGGGTGTGCTGACACGCGCGCGCGTCCCGCCCACAGGTCCCCCGCCTGGTGTGGGAGATCGGCTTGGCCATGATTTCCGGCCGGCGTGAAAATGCCTGGCCCCGGCCATGTGAGGGGCGCCGCCCGGAGCCCCTGCACGGCCGGGGGGACCCGGGCGCCCCCCCCCCCCCCCCCCCCAGCATCACAACTCTTCCGCTCGGTACCCCGGCGCCGACAATGCGGCCGCCCCATGTGCGCCGGGGAAGCGGAGCCGCCGACGGCGAGAGGGCCGGGCGCCGGCCCGGGCAGTAGCGGGAAACAAGCAATCGCGTCGCGGCTGCGCCCGGCCGCAGGGATCCTTCTGCGCGGGCCTGGGGGGAGGGGGGCGGGGGGGCGCGGAACGTGGCGCTCCCACCAGCGAGGGCGCCAGTATCCTCCCTCCGGGGTTCGGTTCCGGGCGGCGTGCGGCGGGGACGGGGGCGGGGGCGGGGGCGGCAGCAGGCTCAGCCACAGGACGAACACCCCGGCCCCATGGCCAGCGCCGCTACGACTCCTCCTGGAGCAGGGCGCGTACATCTGAAGATTTATATGGCTGTATGTGTGTGTGTGTGTGCTAATGCATGCGCGGCCGGGGTGAGGAGGCCGTAACAGCGCCCGGAGCGATTGGCATGGATACCGGGCTGCGGCGCGCCGTGCCGGCAGGGGCCCTCGCGGAGCACCCTGCCACAAGAAACCCTGCCGCGGCACATGAGGGAACGAATCACGGGTCGTCATCGAGGCCGGTGGTGTGATATCCGTCGGCACATCGGCGGTCCAGCCAGCGGCTTCCGCCCCGCCCCCCCCTGGCTCGGTCCCCCGGCACTGCGCGCTCGGGGGGCGATGGGGGGGGGCGGGGCGGCCCTGGCGCGCCCGGGGAGGAGGAGCCTCCCGCACCCTCCCACTTGTCAGAAGGGGGGGCATGATGCCCGCGCCCATGTTCTCGTGCTGGTGTGCGCCGGGTGACGCAGGCGGGCGGGACTTGCCCAGTTCGCGGGGGTGCCCGGTCAATGTCGGCCAGCATTGACCGGGGGCCCGTGTCTAAGAGGCGGGCCACCGGCCCCCCCCCGGGACGGGCGCCCATCCGCCTTGCAAGCACTCTGGGGCGCGCGCGCGCGCGGCGGGCCAGAGGCGCCTGGGTGCGCCGCGGGGTGTGGAGGGCGGGGAGCGCCTCCGGCTGCCTACGCCCGGGCGGGGCCCTTCTCTGCGGTTGCCCGCTTTCTTCGGCCCCCGGGTCTCCTGGCCGGCCAGCCGGGTCCCCTGGCCAGGGTGGGCAAGGCCCCTGGGTCAGGGACGTGTGCGTGAGCGGGTGTGGGGGCTGCCTCTGAGGGGCGGGGGGTCTGGAAAGAGGCTCCGGCCCGGGGGCGCCCCTGGCCCCCGTCGGCGGCCGGAAGATCGCGCGCTGGCTCGCAACCGCCACTCTTCGGGCTGGGGCGTGAGCAAGAATGCCCCGTCCCATCCCCCCGCCCATGCCCCAGAGATCGGGAGGCCGTACGGCGGCGGCGGCGGCGGGGGGGG